TGGAATGTTTTCCTGCTGTATGCCTTCAGATACGACTCCAGCGCGCCCCAGCTGTCGAACGCCGTCACATCCAGATCCGGTACGTCCACTAATTCGTCTTGAGGAGCGATGTCACCTCCGTCGCATCCTTCTGTTTCCGAATCGGACGAATTTTGGCTGCTCGCATCAGAGTCTGATGCGAATGAAGAATGAGATCCCTTCTCGTGCTCGGATTCTACTGACGAATCCTGAACGTTCAATGATTCTTCATTTCTGCGACTAGAAGAGTTGTGGCGACGCGAGGATAATCGATGAGGCAATTGCTTTCTTCGCTTGGTTACCGCTCGATCTCGGGCGGTAGGATGCCTTCTTAATCTCTTCTTCTTCTTCCGTGAGTTTGAGTGAACTGCAATGTCGCGGGATTCGCCGTCGCTGTTAGATCTTGACGCAACGCTTGCTAGGTCTTCGTCACCCCCTTCGCTGTAACGGGGCTGGTGGCGTGGCATGGCGGGCGTCGATACAGCAGACGTCGGACCCGTGCTGCTTTTGGAACGCTGGGATTCTTTTGACTGGGGAGGGGGAGACTTTTGACAGCCATTAAACTTTAGGAATGATGGTCTGCATCCGGGTGAACATCCGAAGATCAAAATGCACATCCGAAGATCAAACTGCACATCCGAAGACAAACAAAAGATTTGTCCCCACCGAAATGGCCCTTTTAAATACTGTGCAGGGAGACACTTTCATACATCCTGAATCGATCACCGACGAATTATAAGCCGGGAAGGCGTCGCCAATAAAGCTATTAGCGAAACAGACGCCGTCTCTTACTCCTTCCTTCGCGTAGAACACCACAAACTTGATTCGGACGTCGATGTGCTTCGCCTTCGACGACGTGTCACATTTTAACTGCTGAGGTGCTTCCCGGTTGTCGACATGCAACTCGAAAGACCGAATACAGGCCACTCCCAGTCCACCCAGCCGTTCTCGTATCCCCCGCAATTTCTGTCCGACGACCGAAGCTGCCGTGTACTTCGCTTCCATGGCGGACAACGCCACGCCGCCTTGGTTTTAACATTTCCATCCAACAGCCATGCCGTTTCGTCACAAATCACCCGTGACCGACTTCCTATCTTGCTTATTCGCGGCAAAGTCCGCATCGCTATATACAGCGACCTCCATCGCCTCACGCGAGCCACCGTCGCATTGCATCCGCAGACGCAACTTCTTGGCTCCCGCCAAGTATCCAACCACACGTTTAGCGAGCTTCTAATCCGCTACAGACGTGCGACGCGTGCGCCTCGACGCCTTATGTGCGGCAAACGCAATGTACGGCCATGTACATCTCGCTATCCAGAGCAGGGTTCCCACCGGAGATTGGAAACTGGAGTTACCGCTCCCGCCGGACCCGTAACCGGCAGTAAATCGGCTCCCGAGTCACAAACGGCGTTATATTCTTCCCCTATCAGGGACCTCATTCCCTGCACCATCTCATGCCCAACTCCTGCAACACGCTAGCTCCTGATCCAAGCTGTACAGAAGTCCCTCAAAGTAAGCGTCACCTACTTACGTAATACCCCGCCATATCTGCTACGGTACATACAGGTTCAACTGGCCAATCACAAAAATGCACTGATTTTGGATGTGCTGCAGTCGGCGGGAAAGATCTCCATCAATTCCAGACCGGTCCGGCCTCTTCGCTAACTAAACTATTGGAAAACGGAGAATGGAGATTAAATGTACGAGGTAACTCATGCTCCCGCTACGTACGTCTCCCTCCATGCACAATATCACTCTTCCAGGCGACCATGACCGCCAGCCCCATGCCGCGCCGGATCCGCCTTAATATGGAGCAGAAGATCGCCATGTGCAAGTATGCGAAGGATATGCGCGCCAAAGGCAAACTGTCCAACACACAGCTCGCAGCGTGGGCAACACGTGCGTTCAAGCTGGAAAAATATCTTTCACGCGATGCCGCTCGCAATGTTATCGCTGGGGAGTCTAAGTGTGCCGCTATGGAGCCCTGTTAGCTAGAGCGCGCAGCTCGTCAGCCCCCAAATCCAGGAGACGGACGCTCGCATTTTGAAGGTCTTTAAGGCCATGGACGGCAAGGTGGAGGCTATCACAGGCAAGGTGATAAAGGCCATTGCTCTTCGCGTGAACGCGTATGGCGAGTACACCACGTTGAAGCTCTCTAAGGGCTGGTTGTATAGATTGCAAGAGCGTCACGGAATCTCCAAGAAGCGGAAGCACGGCGAAGCTGCGTCAGTTGACCAAGAGGCAGCTGAAGCCGGACGTGTGAAACTACGAAAGCTGACGGACTCGTACGCCCGGTCCGAGATCTGCAACATGGATGAGACCTCGTTCTTCTTTCGAAGCGAGGCTAAGTACACTCTCACGCAGAGGAAGGTGATCTCTGGACGCAAAGACCCCAAACATCGGCTGACACTGGCTCTAGATATCTACACCGCTCTTTGTTGGAGTAAGGTGGCCTACGACGAGATCTCGCCCAAAACCATTCAGAACTGCTAGCGGCACGCAGGCATTCTGTCGGACAGGAGCAAGATCGCCTCGCTTCTTAACTAAATATCAGTACTTTTTAAACATCTGTTTTATCACCCTCTAAGATCGTGTCTCGGTCCCCCCTACGCTTACTTTGAGGGACTTCTGTAACCATCCGTGCTCCATAGTCCCCTCTCATCCCGAGGAACTTGCGTGCTCTTCTGAGACCCTTGACAGACAGAGACGCAAGATCGGCGAATAAGCGCCAACCGCGCCTTGATCAGTGCCCGTAACGAGAAGATCATCAACATAACGTCAGCAGCGACCAGAACGTCGCCCTTCGTACGGAAGTAGACGCACCGACCAAACTGTGGACAAAATCTTTTCTGTCAGTTTTCGGTATGGCAGTTTGCTCCACAGACTTCCTGTCTGTTTCAGGCCGTAGAAAGCCTTACGAAGCTCCAGCACCAGGGCTCCCGATTTTGGCATTGTTATTTAATGGGAACCCTATTTAACCATAAATAATGGCATTGGGCAGCTAGTGTCATCACATACATTATGTCATGTGCTGCGCACAAACAATAAATAAGAGCATAATGTAAAGCAAACCAACACCATGTTAAAATTAGCGAGTGACCTCGTCGACAGTCTGAGCTGACCAATACTCACCATTTTGGCGTAAGAACAGCACCATTTCTAATGTAATAGGTTGCAAGCTGTGGCGCTCTTGCCCGTACGTCGTCCTGGTGTCGCTAAAGAACCTCTCAACAATGTTAGAAGTGGATGGAATGGACCATAGTAGCTTAGCGAGGGGCTTTGTTCGAGTTGCTCAAATTAAAAAGTGAGGACGTGAGCAAGCTGTGTCCTTAGAGAAGTGAGAATTTAAGTACAGTAGTGAGAAGTCATGGTTGGTTGTGAGAGGTACATAATGATAAAGAGGTTTTGCTCATAAATTATGTCGGATGATTCCTTAAGTAAATAAATTATTAATAACATCCAGGTAATCGAAGAAATAAATAATTTTATGATTTCATAAGAAATAATTGAAAAGACCATGCCATAATCGGGAGCCCTGGGCTGGTCCTCAGACGACGCCCACAGACGTCTTAGCAACCATTTAGGGATCTTTATTCCCTGTGGGATCCAGATGAAGATGTCCAGCTCCATTACTTTGTCCGCCTTGACGTAAGCGCTAGGTACGTCAACGTGTTTCACCAGTATGCGCCACTTCCTTACCAGCACAAGGATCACCTTCACACCGTCACTTCAATGACGTCTCGAATGATACTCCATAATTCACATCGAACTCTTGTTCGTTTCCGCACGTTACCAGATGCCTTCGGGCGCTCGATAAGTCCCCCAGCGTTCCTCATTGTTTTGTACACCCATTTCATGTGGAGTACATGCACATCATGCGGTACACGAACCACTTCCAGACTCCGTTCACTTCTAGATCCTCAAGCTCTTCACTCATTGTTTTCATCCATCATGACGACTTCGCTAAGCTTGCATATATTTCTTCGAATTGGCCTTCATGACGTTGTTCACAACATCCTGCGCGCTCTCCGAATGATCAGCGAGCTCGTCCGCATTATCGGTAGTCTGGCGATTCACCGACCTCATCACCGGTCGCTCTCTCGTCCAGATGTTTTGTTCTTATACTTATTTCTTACGTTTCTTCACACCGTTCTCGCGGTCACTCATGACCGGCGATCTCCAGCTCTTCCCGCGTAAGCGGTTCTCAACGGTTCACTGGCAGACTCCTGATCTGGAGCATCCTCGTCGCTCAGATAGATGCGTTCAACTTGCTTGTTTAAGTCTTTTTCAAAATATCAATATTCTTGTCGTGCCGAGTCGCTATCACCTTCTTATACTTGATTGATACACCCTGTAGGCTTTAGTTTTCTCACTACATGTATTACCAATATTCATCGCTTGTTGCGATAAGTTGCGGCTCTCAGGATCCCAATACAGGTTCTCGAAAGTGTTGGCCGCACCGCGTTCGTCTAAACTGCGTGCGCTCGCATAATTTCACTAGGAGGTGTGAATGAGCTTGATCATCAAGTTGTAGACTCGCGCTCCTCGACGAGGAGGAGGGTTGAAGTAGATCCAGAGCGAGCCGCAGTCTGTGTCCTGTGTGATGTGCGTCGAGCAGCAGCTCCGGACCGCGGAGGCCTGGATGTGGGTACAAGTGGTTGTGTGCTCAGGGAGAGGGGCGAGATAAGCAAAGTAGTTAACGCACCCAATACTACTTCATCTTTTGCATTGTTAACCTCGTCAGCATATCTACAAGAACTCGTGCAGCCTGAGGACTGCAGCTCAACACATATCCTCTTCGCAGCCTTCTTCGTCAGCTCTCATACTGCTGAGCTTTGAGGGTCATGTACAACGGTCTCACATGTTTTTTTTCTAGAAGCCGAAGCCTCGAGGTCACCCCCTCCCCCATAATCTGATTTTAAAAAAAATTGTTTTATACTGCGTTGTATTTGCAAAAACCTGGGTTAAAAACATACTTGAAGCTCTGATCAGCTTGTTTACTGTTGCTCTTCAAGCCCGATGCTGTCCTTGTCCAAGCTGCCGTCCGTACTCCCGTCGCTCCGTCATGCGCGAAGCATTTCGCAGCGTGTGCGGACTCTTCCTGACAACGTGTTTGCCGAGTTCTCTGCCCTAGCGGCGAAGCATGATGCTGTGAATTTGGGTCAAGGCTTCCCGTCCTTCGGGACGCCTCAATTCGTCCAACAAGCTGCCATCAACGCTATTACGGACGGTAACAATCAGTACACGAGACCCGGAGGCCACCCAAGCTATGTGGAGGCGCTGGCTGGGATGTACTCGCCCCTATTGAACCGAGAACTAGACCCCATGACTGAGATCGTGACGTTTAACGGCGCCCAGGAAGGAATCGCGTCCATCATGGCGGCAGTACTCGAACCAGGGGACGAGGTGCTCACGTTTGAGCCCTATTTCGATGCCTACGTAACAGTCTCCCAACTGCACAGCGTTAAGTCTTCAGGTGTCCCGTTCCGCTTCGATCCAGCCAAGCGTTCTGCCTTCGTAAGCGAAGCCTCGAATGTGACCGAGCGGTTCACGTCGCGTGATTTCCAGGCGGATCTGGAGAAACTCGAGACCAAACTGACCCCCAAGACCAAAATGCTGGTGCTCAACACACCTCACAACCCCATGGGCAAAGTCTTCTCCAAGCAGGAGCTGGAACAACTCGCACGTGTCCTGGAACGTCACCCGAACGTCATCGTCTTGTCTGATGAAGTGTACGAGTTCATGACGTACGATGGACTGAAACACGAGCGGATCGCGGCGCTTCCCGGCTTCTTCGACCGCACCATTTCACTCTTCAGCGCTGGCAAAACCTTCTCATGTACAGGCTGGCGCGCGGGCTACGCAGTGGGGCCGGCACATCTGGTTGGAGGCATCACTAAGGCTTACAGTACTGTGCCGTTCTGTGGCACGACGCCGTTTGAAGTGGCACTAGCGTCGGCTTTCCGTCAGGCTCAGCACAATGGATACTACGACGAGCTAAGGGAGACGCTGCAGGTATAACGGGGTTCAAATACTTGTTAAGTTATCGCTGATTAGTGTACACTGACGTTTTTGTATGTTACAGACCAAGCGCAATCGGCTGTGCGACGCGCTCCAGGCGTACAACTGGCGCCCGATCGTCCCCGAGGGCGGCTACTTCGTGTGCTGCAACGTGGAAGGTCTGCCGTTCTACGACGAGTTCCGTGGCATCGAGATCACGCCGGATACTCCCAAGACGGTGCGTTGATGGTGTGGTTATACGCTGCCAGCCTTGAAGCTTACATAGTTGACCTGTGCAGGAATTCCCGGACTACCAGTTCGCGTACAAACTGGCCAAAGGTGGTCATCTTGCCGTGATCCCGACGTCGCCTTTCTTCAGTCGTCCGGAGAACCGCCTTGCTCCGGGTGTGGTGCGCCTGGCCTTCTGCAAGGACGACAAGACGTTGGACGATTCCATCCGTGTCATCGAGTCCCTCAGGAACTAGACGCGCGCGCAGTTCCTAGATGCTCGCAACGTAGACTCAACGCCTCACATTTTGCTGAACATGTTCGCGGATCTCCTCCGCTGTGGTCTCTGAAATCCACGGCAACATCCGTCTCCAATGCATCTCGTTGAACTTGAGTACAGGCACCTGCATCGCCGGGAAGTTCTTGAAGCGGAAGCTCAGAGACAACGCACTACCCAGCGACAGAGGAGATATCGAGCGGAAGAACTTGAGCCGCAACGCGAAATCCGCGTCTAGTCCTCTTACAACCCCGCCCTTAAACTCTTGGCGACATTGACTGGGAGACGGCAACTCGTAGCCTTCAGCAAGTTCCCGTTGTGAGATCTCGTGAAGCTGCGTACACAGAGACTCGACACGAGGCTGAACGATGACTGTAGCGTTCGGAAATTGCCTCAATCGGTGCACTTCAGGGAGGTCACCTACGTCGTGGGTGACTGCTATAATGAGCTTCTTGTGCATCGCCAAGAGCATTCCAACTCGTCGACTCTTGACCACACTGTGCGCTGGAGATGCTCGAGCCACCTCGTGCAGCTGTTCGCCTGTCAGGAAGAGAACGGCCGTGCGTACACTCAGTAGAGCGTCCGCCTCCATCGACTCTACGATGGCCACAGTGCAGTCGGCGTGCTTCGCAGATAGGAAAGCGGGGAAGCTACTGGAGCTGGCAAACCCTGAGCTGACAAAGATAACCCACTTGGGCTGCTGGACAGACCCGGGCTTTGCCAGCTTCGGACTTGTCAGATCGATGGTGGACGTCAGCGATGATTGAACAGCTCGAGTAGGGGTGGCAGGCAGTGACAGGCCACTTGTACTCGACCCCAGCAGGTTAAATGACATAGCGCCGGCTTCTTCCTCGGTTTTGTTAGAAACTAGAGCTGCGGCGGAGGTGAAGCCAGTTCTAGACTGGCTATTGTTCAGTGGCCGCGCATGGGCTTGCTGAAGCCTGGCTTGCCGACGTTCTTCCAACTTCTTTAGAGCCTTCAAGCGGTTTGCCTTGATCTTTTTGTGCAGTTCATCGCTGGTATCCTGAGCCTCGTTCGATGGTTGATCAGTAGACCGTGCTGGCACCGTTGCGTCAGTTGAAGAAATCCACCGTTGCGGTCTACTTGTCACTGTCGACGAAGTGTTTGCACTGCTGCCAGTACCAAGCAAACTGAAGCACGGAGGGGCAACTTCGCAGTCGGCCGTAGCGCTTTCCTCTTCTTGAACTGTTTGCAGTGGCTTTGCTGCACCAAGCAACTTGAAACTGGGCGAAGGTTCAGCTTCAGTGGCACTATCGTCTCCATCCGGTTCGGTCACGGTAGCCGACGCACTAAAAACGGATGCTGATAACGCTGACAATGTCGCTGCATCCTCCGTCGTCTCTGACACTCGAGAACGTGAACGAGGTCGTGGAGACGGCGTGTCCACGTCATTCGATCCATTGTGCAGTTCGTCCAGACACGCCCGAATAATTCCATTCGTAGGGAGAGCGCCCAACTGCCTCCCACCTCGACGCAGCAGCAACGGAGAACTCTGCGATTCAAACAGCGACCGCGCATAGATCGCCCGCATATTCGGACTGGATTTCTTCCGCTTCTTCTTCGACGTGTTGGCTTCGACGACTTCAGGGGATACAACCGACTGCGAGTACAACAACTGGGACGAATCGTTGATAAACGAGTCGTCTGCCGCGTCTTTATAGTCGTCTCCGTAGTCGTCTTCATCGTCATCGTCGCCTCTTGCGCCTCGAACATCCGCCGCGTCGTCAATATACGCAGCGGCCAAGACACGTGACGTCTCTCGTCTTCGTTTGGATCTTCTGATGCGTTTCTGTTGCCACGGAGAGGATGACACTGGAGCTGCCTTCGCTCCTGGCTGCGAGAACATCTGCGATTGAGAGGCGTCGTACTTTCGCTTAAGTCGTCGAAAGGTCTTGAACTTCTTCTTTGCCTCTACAGACGACGGTGACGCCAACAAATGACTCGGAGATGAGACTCTCGTAGGTTGCGATGGCTCGGAGGGTCGAGTCGTGGGTGTTAGGTGCGTTTTGTGCTGCTCAGGAAGAGTAACCGGGGCTGTCGAGTTGCGATGAAGAGGACAATACGCCAGGAACAACGTACCACAGTCACGGTCTTCGTCTTTGGGAGGGTCCAGCTGATCCATGCGATAGTGAGCGAAAGCAGCACAGCTGACGTGAAAAGCAGCCAGACATCTCTTGTGTGCGCACTGGATAATTCCGTTCCCTTTCCTCGAGTGACATAGAGAACAGTCCAGCGTCTTGCGGTCTGGGTCCAGTCTGCTTAAGTTACCGAGAACAAGCATGTCGTCACGGCCCTGCTCCACACGAAACTCTGGGATCCATAAGAAACACTGGACGTGAACCCACTGGCCGCATGTCGTCCGCTTATATGCACCACCGCGGTGTGGACACAACTGGCAGCGCGGTTGACTAGGCTTCGGTTCGTTAACACCCCCAGCGCGTCTGTCGGTGCAGACGTCACAGAACCACTTGTCATGGGGCACGCTGCGGATGCCATAGCAGAATTGATGCACAGCCACGTTGCACCCGTCGCAAAACACGATAGGATCATCGTCGTAGGACTCGCTCTCAAGGCAAACAGCGCAGCTTTCATCTTCCTCTTGCTCTGCTTCTTCCGGTTGACTCTGAGCTGCCTGCTGAGCGGCATGCTTGTCTCCGGTTGGATGCATGAACAACAGCGATGCTCCTTCACGATTCACCATCTTCCCCACAGAGGTGTCGTGGTCGTCCTTCTCCGTTAGGTCAACGACGGAGATGTCTAACTCGTTCTTGGCTGCAGGCTTTTCTTCGAGTGCTTCATCAGCCTCGTCGCCATCAGTTCCGTCTTCCACTGGCTGTGGAGAAGCCGTCGGACTTGGTCTCGTAGATGCAGCTACTGATCCAGTGTTGAGAGAAGGAAGCAGAGCGAAAGAGAGCGCAGAAGCTTCTTCCTCTGCCTCTGACCCTTCTATAGTTTCAACTTCAGCGCTTGTCTCTAGAGGGAGCAATGCGAATGAGAATGCAGCGTTGTCTATATCTTCACCTTCTGACGTCACCTGCTTCTCGGGCTGCTGCTGCGTTTCTGAAGTTGGCTTTGGTGGTGGGAGGTCAGTACGTGTGGCTTGATCCTGCAGATTCGCATCGATGACTTCATCATCAAATTGCAGCTGTCGTGTGCTACGAGGTCGAGGGGCATCCACGAGAGGCTGGGCGGTGTCACTTTCTTCTGCATTTTCTTGTTGGCGTACCGACTTGCGTGCGCTGTGGGGAGGGCGAGGAGAATCCGATGTGAGCGTCAAGGACAACGTCGCCAACATTTGCTGAGACTTCTCCTTAAGGTTGTGATCACCAGATGCACTTGGTACAGCTGTCAGCACTCGTACTCCCGACTCGTACGCGCTTCTCGAAGTCGACACGTTCGACAAAGATTCCACTCGGGAAACTTCTTCGACACTGGAGTTTGTCTTCTGTTTCTTTGCAGTGGCCATATCGAGGTCGTGTTGACGCCGTTTAGTGCCATCCTTAGACAGAATTTCCTCGTCAGCAGAAGCGAACTGCGTAGCCGAGTCCACAAACTGCGGGCTAAAGTGCATGTCAAAAGAATTCAGCGACTCGTTCATCGCAGAGAAAGACTCTTCGCATCTACTGTCTCCGTCCAGTTCCATGGGAGTGCTGGGTTGTCGCCAAGGAGAGCCAACCTCGCTGTCAGTTTCCGCGTTATCCGTACTCGCCCTGATTCGACGGTGCTTTTTTCTGTTGCTTTCGCCGCCGGACTGCTTAGAGTTTTGAGAGACTTCAGCAACAGTTTTGTCTCCATCAGCTTCAGACTTTTCCTCGTCATCGTCTGAAGCGGTCTCCAGTATTTCCTCCACACCGTGAATCTTCCGTACAAGACCCTGCAACATCAGCGACCTAGTCGAATATCCCACCCGAGCACCCACACTTGTCTGCACTAAACTCCGCGGCTGACGTCGTAGCAGATGCCCCCGATTAGCAACGACAGGAAAGAGTTTGTTCCTCGAGCTTGAAGCGAAATTCGGCGGGAAATACTTCATGAGCGCCACTGCTCGTTCAGCATCGCTGAGCTGCCACAGACTTGGATCGACCGCCACTGACGCAGTCTTGCCCCCCACCTGGGACGCGTGGAAAGTTGGAATCTTCATCTCCAGCTCTCTTAACTGCGGACAGATCCCCGTGGGGATCATGCGGGGACACTTGGAGTACGTGAACCTGCTCTTGAACGTCGTGAGAGCGCGACTCACAGTCTTCGCTGCTGACGCACTGCGGGCCAGCTTCTTTTGCTCATCGCCTTCCGTCACTAGGATGATAACTCTACCCACACGCTTCCGTCCAGTTCTGCCCATGCGTTGGATCATTCGCACAGGCGACGTGAGTGCATCGAACGACACGATGAGGTCCACTTCGCCAATATCCAGACCTTCCTCTGCAATGCACGTCGCCACGAGGACGTTGAACTCGCCCAGCCGAAACCTCCGCACGATCTCTTGTTGTACCTTCTGGGACTGGCCTTTGTTCTCCTTGGCTTTCCCAGTCGCGCCCTGGCCAATAAACGGCTGTGCATTCAGGAGAGGAGCCAGCGGACGCAGCAGCGCTACAATCTCCGACACGCTGGCCCGATACTGCGTGAAGACAATGGCACGCGTGCTGGACCCACCCGCAGAATGGCGTTGGAAATGCTCCAGCAGAACTTGACGAAGTTTCACCAGTTTCGGGTGGCTGTTCGTGTTGCTGGAGCTGTTGCTATCGTCAGTCACAGCCAGACTCGCTTCAAGCGCCTGGAACTCTGGAGACTGCAGCATTTCGCGCTTCGACCACGACATTTTGCCCTTCTTCCGTTCCTCCATCCAGCTCATGATTTGATCTCGGAAGCTACTGAGCCCATGGCCTGTCAGCAGACTCTTGGCGTGAAGTAGACTCACGAGAAGCGCCAAGTCGCTTTCAGCACTGCGGTTCGAGGCATAGTTGGGGCTTTTCCGAAACTTTTCCCGCGCTTGCAGCACATACCAGCTCGAGAGCTTCTCTGGGTCGCTGTTATGGATGATGTCACCCCGGAGAAGTCGTTGAATGATGGGCGTAAAGAACTTGAGGAACTGCGCCTTGATCTCCATGATCTGAGCGCCCAGACGACACACAATGACCTCTTCCTGCCGTGCGTGGGTGTATTTCTTCACGTCGGAATCGTCAGCCGAGCGACTTTCAATGTGAGAGATCCGCAGATTAGTCACCACGTCCTGGATCACGTCAAACTTGGCTCCTGGTGTGGCTGAGAGCGCCAAAACACGGAAGAAAGGCGTCTTGGCTTCGATCTCCTGCACCACGCAGCAGTACGCGTAGTTTCCCGTGGCTCGATGGGCCTCGTCCACCACAATACACACGAACTTCTCCGCTGCACAGACGCCTCGACGAAGATCATTCTGCAGACTCTGCGGGGTGCAAAAGAAGACGCGCCTCGAGTCCCAGAGCACGCGACGCATCGTCGGAGGCACATTTCCCTGCAGCTCTGCGGTGTCTGACAGCGGGATGCCCATGATCTCGTGACAAGCTTTGATCTGTTGTGCCACTAAGGGCTTGGTAGGGGCCATGAAGACGATCTTTCCAGTGGGGAACCAGCGATAGAAATTGTACATGACAACTGCAGCCACCAGCGTCTTCCCCAAACCGGTGGGTAACGATACCAGTGTGTTGTGGTACAAGGCCTTCTCAGCTATAGCCAGCTGATAGTCTCGGATGGCGTAGTTGGTAGGGTACACAAAGTGCTGGGCGGCCTCGTAGTCGATCTGGGGAAAGTTTGAGCGTGCCACAATGTCGAGATACCTGTTTCTAGCCTGGGAGTCCTCTCCTGCTGCGTGTCGAGACATTTGTACGGGCGATGAAGCTGGTCTCTTCGCTGTGGCAGCTCCAGAAACTTGCTCTGAACGTCGAGACGTGAGTACCAGCCCCGATCCAGAGGCTGCAGAGCCTAGAGTCGTCTCTTGCGAGGTCCTGATTGCTTGATCTCTGTCTCTTACTATAAATGGAGACGGCACGGAGCGTCCGACGTCCTGTTCTGCGTCCCGTTGCCTCTGTGGCTGGGACGGTGGCACCGCTACAGGCGCCGACGTCCCGTCAAAGGAAAGTCGAGCCTGTACATGCGCAGACTTCCTAGCTGGGGTAGGTGCAGTCTCCTGGTAGACCTTGCCACGCAGTGTGGAGCACACTTGACAACTCGCTCTCGACGCCTCGTTCTGTAGCGTACACGACCTGCAGCTCCACACTCCTGAGGATGGAGAAGAAACACTCGTAGTTGTGCTGGCTGTGGGCCGACTCTGGGTCTGATTCTGCTGAGTACGAGTCTGCAAGTGACGCTTCTCCAGCGCTGTGATCTCTGAGAGCAGCGCGTCGTCCCATTCGTCCTCCTCCATTGTCACGAACAAGGAACCAACTGCGAGCCTGCGTACCTTTTTGTGAAAGGCTTACTTTGCAAGCTCGTGTTTTTAACCGATGAGAAGGTTTAGCCAATCACAGATTATTCCCGCATCAGTTATTAATACCCTTTGTACTTCTTCGAAGTACTAATTAAAAATACCTGTATCGCTGTTGAGCATGGCGCAGTGCGGCGTCTTGTGTCGCTACTTTTTCCAGCAGATGCTGCTGGAGGCGGACGGCTCGCGGCTGGAGGAGTTCGCGTCATCTCTACTTCTTTCATCGCGCCCCACTTTGGCTGAGCTGCGTCGTAAATTTCCCTTCGAGGGCTCGTACCATTTCCGTCTACAGATTGACACGTCGAGTGGCTATTGCTGGAGGGACTTGACGGACGAGAATCGCGTACTTCCGATCTCTGACAATGGGGAAATCCACGTGAAGGTTCTGCAGCTATCATCGGCCGATGAGGGGGATAAGACGCCAGATATTCACGAAGACCTAGTGGATGTGCCTGAAGATCGACATTTCCGTGCCTTCTTCCACTGGCAAAGTAAACCCTCGGGCGAGGGATACCCGATGCCACAGCCCCAACAAGCATCGCAGCAAGACGTGAGTTCGGTTCTCTTTGGCGTAAAGAAGGCGCTTGCCTCCAAGATGAAAGGATCAGCCATGGCACAGACATTACAGAAACACTCGGCGCAGATGTGGGAGAAGGTAACGGCAGCTACAGGAGTTGGAGGAGGAGGAGGAGCAGGGAATGCGCCACCTACAGCGACAACATTGGCTCAACTGGCCAAACTCATTAACGCCATGAAGGCTCCACTACAATCTGGCAATCCTGAACATGATGAGTTACTGCAGAGACTGTGGACCTCCTGTTTTGACACAAAGCCATTCGCAGTGACGAGTGCCGAGTGGAATCGACTGGGATTCCGACATGGCGACCCCATGCGTGAGATTCAGTTTTTACTTCCGCTACAGTGTCTTGTATACTTCCACGAAGTGCGCCGCACAGTGGCACTGCCCATTCTAAACGACCAGAGCGGCCCAGAGGCGTTTTCGTACGCTTTGGTAGGCTCCCAGATCGCGTATGTCCTGGCTGATATCCTGCAGCTGAGAGATGGCGGGTGTCTAGGTTCCGAACGCCCCTTCTGGAGACTTTTTGAGGACCCGGTGGCCTTCTTTGAGTTGTTTTGCATCGCCTTTCGTGCCTTCGCCTCGTCCTGGAAACTGAACTCGAACAACTCGTCCGATGTCAATTTCCACCTCCACTACGTAGGTGACTTCTCCCAAGAGCTGCTTCGTCGAGGCCCAGAGACTGTAACAAGCCTCGGGGAGCACGCCTATCAGTTGCAGAACTGGTAGGCAGACAGAAAATCAAACGGAAGGATCAATAAAATATGCAATTTTTACCCATTTTGACAGGTGTCGTCTTACAGGTGCAGCTGAACCGCAAGCATCACCCGAAGAAGTTCTTCTACACTCGGTGCCTCAGACTTGGCGGACAGCACACATTGTGGGAAGGCCCTTTGGAGTTTCTCCATCACTTCCTTACGCTTCTCCACTGTGTCCAACTGAGCAAACACTGCGCTTTCCCTCACTGTGTTCGCCTGCATTGAAACTTGTGAGCTTTAGGAATGGTACGAGGCAGTAAGTTGTAGTCACATACCAGAGTCGAATCCTGTAGACCTCGAGTTAATGTTGCCTGCACGTCACGGTAAACGAAAACCGTGCCTGAAGTGCTGATGCCTACAATAGTGGGGTCGATCTGAGCAGACGAATCACGGATTCCCACTATTCACAATTACAGAATAAGTCAATACCTGAATCGCCCTTCAGGATCAAGAGAGATGCAAAACTTACCACAGAACATCGAGCAGCCAGGCAGCAGCATCCGGAAGCGCACGAGCTGTCGTTCGCTTTGGATTGCGTACATTTGTCCACTCCACGTGCAGACCACAATCTGCCACCAACACACCCAGGTCACGCACGCAGAAACTCCATTTACAGTGATCTCAACGTACAGCATCCTGGCGATCCCCACGCTCTGTTGTCATCTCGAGTTTGTCAGCGTTCACCACAGCCTCAGGCAACTGAATCGAGTCGAGTAGAAAACGCCATTCAAGCTAGCACAGAGGACAAATCTAGGGTTACTTTAACGCACCTGGAAATCCCACTGCCTCTCCCCAGAAGACGAGAACAAAGACACAAGGCCATTCATCGACACAAGCGCATTCATTCCTCGTTCACCTCCCAGTTCGATGTCGCCCACCACGAATGTGACACCTTCGGTCTCGCACGGCGGGCCTTCCCAAGGCACAATCGCTCTCTTGTCCCCATGACTGGATCCACTAATGGAATACACTTCACCCGAGAAGCACCGAGCCACCAGTCGAGGCGAAGCGTCCGTCTTGGAGTGAAGCACGATCAGCGTTTCGATCTCGCCATTGATCTCCATTTGAGCGACCTGAGAATACTCAGCAAGCTGAACACCCACCGTATAACATCATGATATATCCGCCACTCTTTTCCAAGAACAGTGCAAATATCACACACGAACCTCGTCATGATTCGTGTTGGGCCGGTAGACGAGCACTCGTCCATCACGTGTTGAAAGAATGAGCTCGTCATTCAAGTGCACCACATCACAGACATTGAGCGCAACACTCTATCAGCACATCAGTAAGTCTGCAAGAACTCGCACCCAAAACGTCGCATTGTCCGTACAAACTCGGAGCACAGCTGCAGCACTTCAGCGCCCTCCACCGAACGGAACACGGAGCATTTTCCTTCCGCTGTCGCCACAATAATCCGAGTCTAACGCAGGCGTCACAACATACCCATCCTACGTATCAGTCTTCCATCCGGCAGCATTCTTGACCCACACTCACGTCTCCAGCAAAGCAATAGTCGAGGCAAATGGACGTCACGGATCCGTTCACCTCGCAGCTTCTCCACTGCGCCAGGCGACCCCCCACAATCTGCATTCAACTTCGTCAACATTTAATTTACGGAGCAATAGTCTATCGTATCGACTGCAAACCTTGAAGACCGATACTTTGCCCATGAGTGAGCCGAAGAGCAGTTCCGTCGCTCCGTCGCCGTCTACGTCGCCCGCCGCGTGTGCATTCGCTAGGATCTTCCCGTCCAGCTGCGCCGCGTACGTCGGCGTTAACTCCAGCTTAATATACGCAACGTCAGCGTCGACCACTAGACTCAGATTTAGCCACCTGGCGAGCGCCATTCATACCGCACCTGTCCGCGCATAAGCCTCTTGATCTGATCACCTTACAAAACTTGAATAGCTTATATCGATATGTGTTATAAGAGCCCGCTTTATTTAGGATTTTTTCTTCTAATTAACAAGTTGAAGTTATACGTTTTTCAAACTGAGCTGTTTCGGTCGATCTTATACTTCCGCTTTTGCCTAGTATCCCGCACGCCCTCTCCTTCATCCACGATGCCGCCAATGGCTTCCAAGCTTCGCCCCCTTATCTCCAAGCAGGCGGCTGCACGTCTTTCGTCTCGCAGTGTTGCTGTCGCGCGTCGTGCTCCTTTGTTTCACGCTGCTTCCGCCTTCGCTCCAACCTCCCACTGCGCCAATTTTACGACCGGGGGCAAAGGACCTTTCGCTCGCTCCCGGAAGAAACAACAGAAGAGCGCTGTCGAGTCGGTCGAATACGCGGAACTGGATCTTAACCGTATGGCGGTAATCGGCGGCGGTAACATGGCTGAGGCCATTATCACTGGAGTACTAACCGAGGGGCTCATCCCCAGCTCCAAGGTCGTCGTCTCCGATCCCAACCCGTCCATGCGTAGTAAATACGCCAAACTCAACGTGGAGACTCACACACGCAACAGCTCGGCGGTCAAGGAAGCGGACGTGATCTTGGTGGCGGTCAAGCCCCAAGTGGTGGACGACGTACGTCAATAACTTCAGTCACGCTTGGCACTTTTGTCAGTTGCCGTAACTAGTTTTTCTTAATAACTTGCAGGTGCTGCGGGCTGTAAAGGCGTCGATGGATCCGGATGCGCTGGTCATTTCAGTGGTAGCTGGTCAGAGTATCAGGCAGCTGCAGCAACACCTTGGACAGGACAGCCACATCATTCGCACCATGCCGAACACGCCGGCCATGATCGGAGAGGGCACGACAGTGTGGGCACAGTCAGCAGAAGTCACGAGTGTGCAGCACGAACTCACCAAACAGATTCTTGGGTCTTTTGGTGTTGAGGTGAGGCATACAAGAAGGCAGCGATGGGTTTTCTATCTAGTGTTCTGATCTCGTTTTTGTTGTTGTTGCTACTTAAACGCAGGTGTTCGTGGACGATGAGAACGCTCTGGACATGGCGACAGCGCTGTCTGGGTCTGGACCGGCCTATTTCTTCCTCGTCGCCGAGGCAATGATCGACACGGGCGTCCACATGGGATTTTCTCGACCTGTTGCCACGGTATGAAACTTTGGACAGCTATTCTGAAAATCCTTTGGCTTTCTAATGTTTTACCGATCGTTTCATTGCAGAAACTGGTGCAGCAAACAATGCTGGGCTCCGCGCTGTACATGCAGTCGGAGGATGTGCACCCTGTCGAGTTGCGGAATAACATCACGAGTCCAGGCGGCACCACCGCTGCTGGCCTCTACCGCGCCGAGAAAAACGGTTTCCGCGCCGTCATCGCCGATTCAATTTGGGCCGCGTATGAGCGCTGTCTTGAGATCGGCTCCTCCGAGCCCGTGCAGCGTCAACGTCCGCGCTCGTAAGTCCGCGCCGTTATGACAAACGGAAAATGTTTCCATGTCTTAGATACTGGTAACCTAGATAAAAGTATTTGCTGACCTTCTAACCCTTCCTGAACGGGTGATCAAACAGCTACCTGAATTATCATTGGGCCTAAGTTTTGTTGTGACTCTGCCTCACAGCACACCAGCTCCGCCAACGTGCACGAAGAGGATTGCGACCTGCTCAAGCAGCAGGGAATATTCTACGGACTTTACTGACTAGAGTGATGGAGAATCAGTGTGACAGAAGCTCTATTGCACAACAGCAGGATAAAACATTTAATGCATTCTCAATTTTACTACCAACTCCGGAAGTCCCTCTCAAGCAAGAACTTCCGGACCCGAGCACTCCTCTGCAATAGTGCTGGTTTGGAACAACCCTTGTTCTGAACGTTCCTTTTGTTCCAATTGATCAGAACGTTCAGAGCTATTCCTAATTGTTCAGTTGGGAACTGTAAATCCCTCCTAGACGCACACGCAGTGTAGGAAGAACAGACACACACTGGGCGGCAAAAGCCACCTTTAGGCACTGGGTATATTAGCAGCAAATTCTCAACTGCAAATTCTCAACTGAGCCCCCTCGCTCCAACCCTTCTCTCTGTACCCATTGTCTCACACAATACAAACTTCAAGTGCCATAGTGTAGATCGGTATAACCCCACCTACTGATCCACAACTATCGCCTCACACCCTGAGACTTCGTGCCCTTCATCAGTACAACCCTCAATCATTCTCTCTTTCTTTGGCTCAGCTCAACAACTCAGAAAACGCTTCTTACCAAGGCTGTTAGGCACTTAGCTTGAGGTCTTCACAAGAAGTCAGCACTACTCTCAGCATGTACAGCACGTTCAGCCCCCATGTAGATGGGCCTGCTGACATTTCTCTCTTTTCATCCACTCACGCTTATTATAACCCCACCAGTTTGACCATCTCTCTCAACACGCATCATTGGGTTCACAACTCAATATGCCTCATCGTCATGGGATATGCACCATCCATCTCTCTCCTCAACGTCTCTACAGCTCCACCTTGTCTGCCCATTCTCGTTGTTGCATTATTTTCAGTCTTCGTTGTTGCCGGCAACATCTTCAACACAACTCACACAGCCCAACCAGTTCAACACTCTTTCTCAATTTCATCAAAACTCTCGAATCGCAAAACCCACAACTGACCGGTCACCTTCGTTTAATACGCTTCATCGTCATCAACCTCCTCGCTATATCTTCCGCCCGCACCAGACTTACTCTCATACTTTGCGCGCTATGGTGTCAATTCTCTCTGCGGGTCATCGCTTGGCGGTTGCTGCCCAAGATGAGGACATTCATACACGTAGTGGTCTCGTTTCCCACAATGGAAGCAACATTCTCGTCCTCCACGACCATGTCCATATCCACGACCACCTTCACATTGTTCATCTCGTCCTCGTCCGTAGCCGCGTCCTCGACCACGACCTCGACCTCGACCACGTCCACGTCCAAAACCCCTACCACAGTCATAACCAACATAGGCCTTCTCATTATCATTCTCCTCCTTGTTACTCTCAGGACCCTTCGCTGTCTGGCGGCTCTGACGTCTGTCATACGCCACCTCCAGCGCATGCTTCAACTACTCGTAGTTGGGCGGGGTACTCGGATCGTGCGAGGTGTGACTCGCAAGGAACGTCTCGACCACGTTCTCGTACTCAGATGGCAGCGTCCCAATCAGCAGTGCAGGCTTCATATACTCATCCACAGGCTTACCCAACAGTGCGATGTGATTCATCACTTGACGGACCTCTCCCAAATGTTCAGCAACGTTAGCATCCGGAGCCAACCGAAGGTTTCTCAACTTCGTCATCTCATCCGCGAACTATAAGTACGCCCTCCCCACAACCACTCCTTCAGCCGCTCAAAGATTCGATACAGAATGCTCTCGTGCTTCACCGTCTTCATAATCTTGTCCGTCATGCAGTCGAACTGTATCTCTTTTGCACGCAGGACCTTCTTCAGTCCGTCCTTCTTCTCGTCTTCCTTCGACTCCTCCAACTCATCCATGTTCTTCACATCGCTCTTACAGTACGACCACAAGTTCTTCCGTCGCAGTTTCAGCGTCACTCTCTCCATCCAAACCTTAAAATTCTCTCCATCAAACGGCTGGTGCATGATCTTATCCTCTTTTGCCGTCTTCATACTATTCTTCTCTTCTGCGTCTTTACCGTCAGTGCTCATCACGACTAATCAAGTGTCGTCTTCCACGCTGCGGCCGTTGGGCTCATTACCAGTTGGGAGCTGTAAATCCCTCCTAGACGCACACGCAGTGTAGGAAGAACAGACACACACTGGGCGGCAAAAGCCACCTTTAGGCACTGGGTATATTAGCAGCAAATTCTCAACTGCAAATTCTCAACTGAGCCCCCTCGCTCCAACCCTTCTCTCTGTACCCATTGTCTCACACAATACAAACTTCAAGTGCCATAGTGTAGATCCGTATAATCCGCAACAGTTCCTATTCATTTAAGTTCGAAGGGTTCGACTGGGCCAAAAGGAAACCAGCAAAAAGAAAACGAAGCTGGCGCCCGCGTGCACACGCTGAGCATGAGAATGCGGTCGATACCCTCGCCGACTGAAGTGCTTGCCACGCCTACCTGGCGGTCTACCCTGAGCTACCATGTATGACTCGCTCAAATGATGGGTTGCCTGCTTGATAGCAGACGCTGGGGCGCTTTGCAACTGTAGTCAATACAAAAAGCAAGACTGCTGCATTGCGGAGAGCCAGTATACAAATATCGTGTCACCCCTAGCTACACGGGCGTAGCATGAAGGCACCACGATCATGGGACGCAGAAACACTTAGCAAAGAAACCAGACCATGACATGCCGCTAGCCCGAGCTCGTTAAGTTCATGTCCTATAAGGACAATGTCTCGTATAGTAAGGACCACACGTTCACGACGGAGGCGCTCCTGCGTATCACACCAGAGGACTTGTGTCGCTGAATGAACAGGCAGACGTACGGAGATTCAGAACCAAGTGATGAAATGAGACCAATACCTCGCCGCTCGACGACTCTTGAGCACACGAAGAAGGCCATTTCTTCGTTCACGCCACGCATTAATTCAACATGGGATCCAATAACAGAACGTGGAAACCCTACCCGATCTGATGTAGTGAATAAGTTAATCAAGAGGGTGAAGAAGTTGGAGGTTCGGCGCGAAGGATCTCAGTCCAAAGCCCGCCGACCCGTGGAGTTTGACGAATTCATGAACCTACTCGTACTAGTACTAGCCCACTGGGAGCGTAATAATAAGCGTACATGGTGGGCAGTGTGCTAAGTCTTCAATGGCAGATTTGTGCTCGGATTGATGGCATGTTGCAGCTCACTAACTTCTCGCCTAACACTTAGTACCCTTCAACACTCCTTTTCCAAATGCGGTGGTCAAAGAACATACTAGAAGAGCGTGATTCCCCAGAGTAGCTTATACTTGGCAGTATGGACGTGCTCTGCTTAATCTCGCCGTGTACATTGAGTCAACAGCGAATATGGCAGGCTCAGAGTATTTGTACGGCAATCCGAAAGACGGCGACCGCAATGTACGACGATACTTAACCGATATGATCGATAACGAAGCCTTCAAGAAACCGAACCCAGGCAATTTAGGAACGCATACTCTCCGTAAGGGTGCAGCAGCGTATGCAACGAAAAGTGGTATCTCAAAAGACTTCGTGAATGTACGAGGTCGTTGGAGAACACGCAAGGGTGCGATCGATGTTTGCGTCGATAATACTCAACCATATCCTGATGCATTAACTGCAGCATCATTAGCAGGACCTGCAGGCCCATGCTTTTACGTAGTGAAAACTGGAATTGGTTGCATCACGCCAGACCTACTTTGTAACCAGATTACACGAACAGTAAAACAGCTCATGGGCGATTCAATTGCGGCAACTTTAGCATTAACGCTGCTGTGGGCAGCAATTGAACCGTCGGGCGCGTACGAGTACGCGCTGCTGCCAAGCAAGCTCAAGCAAAGAATTGTAAGCGTGTACATGAGCGCTGGAGGAAGAGCAGATCTTAATCCTGTTCAGCGGGAGAAATTTTAGGTTGCTGGTGGCAGCTCTCAATTTTTACTAATACATATCGGCAACGATGAGAGCGCTGACCAAGCTCAAGTACCAAGTTCTCAGCGACCACATGCATCGAGAACGACAGGAGGTGAGAGCACACGCTGCGATTTCGCGGTCCTCCACTCGCAGATTGCTGCTGGACGACGTCATACGACAGAAGTGATGAGTGAAATTCGGCGTTTACGACACCAACTTCAACGCGAGCAACAAAAGACACAGGTAGTATTAAGACGATTGGTAATCCAGGGAACTTTCACCAGAGGACCCGTGCCAACTGCTGCCCAAAACAGCCCAGCAGTGACATCAACTACTCGACGTTTACCCGGAGCCAGACTCTCAAAGCGGCCCAAGGATCTGTACGAGTTATGGCATGAGTATCAATTCGGATGCGGCGAATTAAAAGCAGCGAAGGACTTCACAGCCATTGAACGAGGCGCAAACAAGTTCGCATTCTTACGGAGAAAAGTGTTATGGGACGTCGTGTCAAAGCTTCGGGTTTCACAAGTGACACTGCGATTGACAAAGTTTATACTGTTTATGGTAAGCAGCTTTCGGTAATAGCATCTTTGTAGCTTTACGAAAGGACCGAAATCGAGGTAGGCATCCGGGCCTGGGAGTGTAGATCTGTAGACACTTCAACACAATCATTTCAACCAATCAAATCTGAGTAGCACGTTTAGTTGCAAAAACGGCATGCATATTTAGAGTACAATAGCGTAGCAGCAGCACCGCGACAAAACAAAACACAAGACCACTCTCATTATTACCGACACAAAGCAACGGCTACACCACTCACAACAACAGCGCTCAAACTCGTGGCTACACCACTCACAGCAGCAGCGCATAAAATAACGTCTAACAGCAAAATGGGCTACATTAGGAATGCAAAGAGCAAATTCTGCGAATTCAGTGAATGTAGATATCACTGTAGTAAATCCCGGGTGAAAAACCAATCAACACTCGACAAAGCGGGAGCCACCCCGCTGGAACTTATAGCCAAGTGTATTGTATCGGGTAAATCGTAGAATGAGTCTCGAGTCTGATGGTAACCAGATCGAGCTCAATTATCAGCTCCTTTCTAAGGCGTCCCTCAGAAAGCTCGCTGGGAAAGTTATAA